TGGATGTGGCTGGCCATCTCCCCGAGTTCCAGGCCAAGTTTCACCTTTCCTTGATCTGTTATTTCTGTGGGAAGGCCTTATCAAACTTGGGGAAACTTGTCCCACCCCCACCCCAACCCACCCATATCGACATTTCTCTTCCCACCAAGGTCTCAAGGAAGCAATTTTCCCTGCCAAGAACCTTCTGGATTTGCCTTCCAAACTGCCTCACCTCAGTGATTCTGAGAGGCAGAATCTCAGGAAGAACGGGGCGCTGCTCAGAGAGGAGGGCTGGGTGTGAAGAAGGAGGCTGGCTCACTGTCTAGATGCGGCAGGCATATCAGGAATCTCACCACCTGTTCATCCGTCTATGCACCTGAGACCGTGCTAAGGTCCAGCTGCCTGCTGCTTGAAAAAGTTAAAAATTGAGAGACACGGTTGGGGGAAAGAAAAAGCAGGTTTATTCAGAATGCAGGCATTCTGGGAGGATGGCGGACTCCTGTCCAAAGGCCATCTCCCCGTTCCTAGACCGATCAGAAGGTTTTATAGGTGCACAAGAAGAGCACAGGAAAGGGGGAGTCGGTCAGGCAGGTCTGAGGGCTGACATCCGCTCCTGGGGTCTGGTCTGTTTTAAGATAATGTTATCTCCGGACTCTGGACTGACCCATCTAGGCCTGGGGCTTTATGTGTATTCAGGTGTGTGGGTGCCTGAGGATTAAGAAATTGCCCTTTTCAGGTTAGGATTCTGTTGATTACATGGATTAATGAGATATGGGTAGCCTTCAGAAAGGGAATAAAACAGAGTTCTTCAGTTAATCAGTGAGGGGAGAAACAAAGAGGAAAATAGCTGAATATCAGGGCAGATTAACTGCAAACTAGCTAGGTTTAATTATATTACTGATTTATCGAATTTCACCCTTACCCACCCATTTCTTCATTTGGTCAATACATGTACATTGTATGTCTCTTGTGTGCCAGGTATGTGCTGCGGATATAATGTGACAAGACAGATGTGGCCACTGACTTTTGGGGCATGTTGCTAAACAAAAAGCTATATCCAAACAGTTAAGATAACTGCCATGAAGGGGACACACAGGGACCCTGACTTAATAACATTTCATCTAGGACTTGAGTCAGGTGTAAAAATTAAAGAAGATTTGTCTTTTCCTATGTGTTGGCAGGAGTTTCTTGTATATTCTAGATATCAATCCTTTGTCAGTTATTTAGGTTGCAAATATTTTCTCCCAGTCTCCGATTTGTCTATTAATTTGTTGCAATATCTTTCCTGTGTGTTTTGCATTTTAATGTAGTCAAAATGTATCCATATTTTTCTGTATCAGTGCTGTGTGTGTACGCGCATGCATGTGTATGCGCGTGCGTGCGTGCGTGTGTTTACATAAACACTTAGCTATTCTGGAGCTTCATGGTATGTCTTCTTTTTTTAAGATTTTTATTAGAATATAGCTAATACAATATTATATCAGTTTCAGTTTCAGGGGTACACCATAGTCATTCAACATTTATAAACCTAAAGAAGTGATCACCATAAGTCCAGCTACTATCTGACACTGTGCCACGCTGTCACAATATCATTGGCTATATTCCTTATGCTGTACACGGTCCGTCTTGACGTCTGGTTGAGCAAGTGCCCAATTCTCCCCTCCCTCCTTTCTCAAAACTGTCTTCATTAAATTGGTCCTTTGCTCTTCCACAGGCGTTTTAGGAGTAGCTCATCAAGCTTCACAAAGACTCTGTTGGGTTTTGTTTTGAATGTGTAGGTTGGTTTGGAGAGAATTGGTGTCTTTATGACGGAGCTTCCCAGCGCTCACGTGCACGCGCCCGCGGGTCTCTCCCCTCCATCGCAAGGCTTTTGGACATGGCTCTGCTTGAGTCACTCTCTCCCAACACTTCACCTAGTGAAGTCCTCCTTCTTCCCATCTCAGGGTCCTCTGCACCCTGTATGTCTCCCTCAGAGCCCTGATCCATTGTCCTGAAATCATTCATTAGGTGGCTCTTGGTTTAATGTCTGGGATGCAGACTCCTCCATGCTGTCTTGCTTGTTTTGCCTCCCTGTCCTTAGCTTGAAGAACGGGGCAGGGTCCCAGTAAATATTTGTTAAATGAATGGAGGCGGTAGAAGGGGGAAGGTCTGGCCCCGTGGCACGTTGGCTATACCTAGACAGATGGTCAACAGGTACTTCGCTCGCCTGTGCCTTGGCTTTCTTTCCAGGAAAGCGGGGAGGCAATTAGGGTGTGCTGAGGATTAAGCGGGCTCAGGTACGGGTGAAGCTAAGGGAACAAAGCCTGCCTAGCGGTCAGAGCTACTGACCCGCCCTCCCTCTTCATGCATCTTCAGCCTCACAGTCTTGTGATGCTCCCTGCAGCCTCCAAATTCCTTTCGCCAACTGCTATCTCTTTCTGATTTTACTCCTCCCCCAAACTAGTTATTTTTTCCCCATTTTGCATATGAGACCAATGAGACTCTGAGGAGAATGACTCATTTAAGACCCGAAACCTTTCACCCCTGATCCCAATCCCAAAGTACATAATCTTTAAGGTGTTTTCTAGCTCAGACATTCCCTCAGTAGAATAGCTAGATTTTGAGAACTACATGGCTCCTCTCAAAACAAAAAAAACCTTCCAGACCCACAGTGTTGACTTAAATTATTTTTATTTTATTGTTGTTGAAATAGGTATAAGTCTAAAGTTAATCATGAAGCCCTCACACTCATAGCTCTATAAACCAACCATAAAATTCAAACAAATCTAATGCAAACACAACCAGAAAAACAATAAAATCCAAATTAATGTGCCCGATCTTTGGTTGTTGAAATCAAGCCCCTGACATCAGGTTTAACAGGAGCAGAGAAATGTTTTTACATGTTTTGTTTCCTCCAGCACGTCAACCTAAGAAACGTCCAAACCTGTAGAGAAGTTTTATGAGTTTATTTGAGCCAAACTGACGACAATTGCCGGGAAACAAAATCTCAACGGACTGAGAAAATGCACTGGAGAATGGCAGTTTTGCAGCTTATTTTATACATTAGAATAAAAGGAAGAGACAAAGAGGGTTACATGAAATCCATTGGTGGTAGATTAAGGGAGTGGGAGAAAGCTACTAAGACACAGGGATTGAGGGCGGCCGGTTGGCTCAGGTGGTTAGAGCATAGGCTCATAACACCAAAGTTGCTGGTTCGATTCCCATGTGGGCTGTGGAGGTGCGTCCTCCACAACTAGATTGAAACAACTACTTGACTTGGAGCTGATGGGTCCTGGAAAAACACACTGTTCCCTAATTAAAAAAAATTTTTTTTTGAATTAAAAAAAAACGACAAGGGGGTTGTAATGGTGGCACTAAATCTTCTATTTTGAGACTTGGATCTCTAGTATAATTTGATTTAACAAGTGTAATTGGAAGCAGGGAATTTCTGGGATTGGATAAAAAGTAAAACGGAGAAACACATACTTTTGCATTCGTGGATACAGGGTAGTTAATAATTAATGCAGACAGATGCTTTTCGGGCAACAAGATAACAGTGAGGGGTTCTGTGGTATCTGTCTGGTGTGTGGGTGTGTCCTGAAGAGTTCTGGAAAAGGAGATTACTCTAACATTTCAAAGATATGTTGTCTTAGATGAAAAACACACAACAGATAAGCTCACTTAAGGTAAAGACTGACTTTTGTCAAAGAAGTTACAGGCCTAGGATGTGACTACCTGCCATAACCTGCTTTTTACAATAGTTATGAATTTTTGACTTCAGATCATTTGATGTGGTTACTTTTGGTCTCTGAGTTTGTAAGGTCTGCCATGCTGGCCCTTCCCTGAGCTTGTCAGGTTTCGTATGTGGCCCCTTTTTGGTCCACAGTCATCCTACTTGATTTTGAAAATGATGAGCCATCACTTGAGTTACTGTCAGAGTTAGTCATTGTTTCCTTAAAAAAAACACAAAAAAAACCAAAAAAAAAAAAAAACCAAACGCAGGCCGGCTGAGTGGCTCAGTTGGTTAAGAGTTAGCTTAAGAGCGCGAACTCTGAGCAACAGGGCCGCCGGTTCGATTCCCACGTGGGCCAGTGATGCTGCACCCGAGCTGAGTTGCAGCAAAACTGCCAACAGGTGACAGGATGGCTCAGCTGGTGAGAACACGTGCTCCTAACAACAAGACTGCCTGTTCGATGGTGGGCTATGCCCACCCATAACTAAGACTGAACTCGCCACCTTGAGCTGAGCGTCTGTCCAGATGGTTCAGTGGATAGAGCCCTGCGCTCTTAACAACAAGGCTGCTGGTTTGACTCCCGCATGGAATGATGGCTACGCCCACCTGCAACTAAGATTGAACACAGCACCTTGAGCTTAGAGGCCACGATCTGCTGACGGGCAGCCAGATGGCGACTGGCGCCCTCCACAACGAAGATTGAAGAACAACAACTTGGCTGGTCCCCTTCCCCAACACCCCAATTTAACAAAAAATAAAAAAACTCGTTTATATTCCAGTTTGATGTGCCGAGCAATCTAAACAATGCGTTCTCAAATGCAGTAATTAAAAATGGGAAATAGTACACATGGTAGAACATCACTCATTGTATATATACTGTGATACTCACTAATGAACCATTACAAGTGTGTTCACCAAAGACAATAATGTCACAATTTATGACTTAGCAAAGGACCCATTGTGCTGATTGCTACAGAGCTCCTCATTCCTGAAGCACTCTGCGGCTGATGATTGATTCTCTCACCACTTGACTGCACTGGACCCATCAGGGAACTTCATTCTCCCAAGCACCAGCCAAGACAACACCTGGGCTGCCTGCAGCCTCTGTGCATCCTTCAAGTATTCAGTCCGGCCTCTGTTCTTTTCTCGTTAGCACGAAACAATTAAAATTATACATCAGGCCCATGCTCCGTGCCACTTTCATGGAGCTGTCATTTGTTACAGTTCCAATGTAGCAAAATATTTAAGAAGCTAATCTCCTAATCTCTGAAATTGATGTTCAACGGCAAATGATCCTGGCAAATGGAGCTTTTGAATTTCCACTGGTAAAATAGATGGTCCTGAGCCCAAGGCTGGGAGGGAGATGACTGTTGTCTACAAGGTAAGTGAGTGAGGGCAGCCGGATGGGCCTCGGTCAACTCACCAGAAGTGAATCGCTGTCATACTGGCGCAGAAGCACAAGCTCTGAAGTGGATTTTTTTATTGTCGTTGTTCCCTCGTAAACAATTCTAGTGGAGAACCCCAGGCGATGTGGAGAGTCCCGTTTGAGAACCTCTGGGCTCAAAGATCACTACGTCTGGGAACAAGCACGGGCAGGACTCCGCACTAGGTGTTCAAGGATCAGCCTCTCACTTCCGGAGCTCAGGACTTGGGGGAACCTGGCAAGCCCGGCTCGAGCCCGCCGGCCTGTCTCTGTCTACATCTGCTCGCTTCCTTCCCCAGGAAACAAACGATGGCTCGGACCTCCCGGGCGCTCCACCTCCCCAGTGTGAGGCGGTGCGCCCGGGCGCTGAGGCCCCTCCCGGCAGTGCGGGGTGACAGACCCTACTCCACCCTCTGACTCCGCGTCCCCCTCCCCCACCCCACCACGTGCAGGCCCGAGATGGCAAAGAGGCCCAGCCACCGTCACCAGGGGTTTTCTTTTCTGTTCTTTTTTTGCTGGTTTCAGGCTTTTTTCTGCTTGAGCGAAATGAAACAAACACCCGCTCGGCCTCGGGGCCGCTAGACACGCACGCACCCGCACCCGCGCCGGGGCGCGGCCGGCCTCCCAGCTGTCCTTGTCCGGGGCGGGACCCGCTGTGCATAAACAGCGGCGGGCGCTGCGGAGCTGGGAGCGCGCCGCCTGCTGCTGAGCGCTCGCCGCTCGCTCGCAACCCCTGCCCGCCGCGCTCTGCCCGCTGCCCCGGTGGAGCGCCCGGCAGCCGGCCGGAGCGCAGGCGGCACCCCCCGCCCGGCTCAGGCAGAGGCGGTGCGACTGCTGTTCCGACAGCCGAGGGCGCCGCCGAGGCCGGGAGCCGAGGCGCAGTCCAGCCTTGAGTGAGCCCAGCGTCTGCGGATCAGGTGGGTCCCGCGGGGCACCGCCCGAACCCTCTCAGCCCCCCACCCCAGCCCCCAATCCGCGAGCCGGGCCGGGCCTAGGGGCTGCGGGCTGAGGCGGCAGGGGGACAAGGGCGGGCCACCGCTCTGGCCCTGCCCGGTTTCTGCCCTGCCTGTTGTCCCTGCTTTTGTTCTCGTTTCTGACTCCCACATCGAACTCCATCCCTATCCCCATCCCGTCCCTGTCGCTGCCTCTGCCCAGCCTTCCCGACTCGGGTCGGAGGGGCTGCGGACCGAGGTCCCCGCACCGGGTCCGCAGGGTGTGGGCGCGAGAGGGGGAGGCTCAGGGGGCTCCGTGAGGACCACCGAGGAAGTCTGGAAGCGGTGAAGGGTCCGACCCCGTTTGTGGGGCAGGAAAAGAAGCATTGCTCTCGCCCGGGACGAGAAGGGAAGAGGATGCCTCTGGGAAGGGGTGCCTGGGCGGGCGGAGTGAGGGGCGCATGAGCTCCTGAGCGCAGGGGGACTGGAGGAGGGGTCAGAGAGCTCGCAGAGCCGAGGACCAAGCCAGAAACCTGGCATGCGGAAAGTTTAGGACTTTGTAACTTTGGCAGCAAAAGGGCCTGCTGCATTGGGGGTGATAGGAGGTGAAAGGGTCCCCTCAGCTCCTCAAACCACCCGGTTCCCACCCGAGAGGGACACCACCCCGCGTTTGAATATGGCAGAAAACAGCGAAACAGAACGATTGCACAAACTCTTGAAAGGCGTCCAAGAGAGTAAAAAAAAAAAAAAAAGTCAGCACGCGGGGAGAGAAAGTGAGCGGCTTGAGATCCCCCAATCTTCCCGCAGGCGAGGACGAGGAGAACCGCTCCGAGAGTGTCCGCGCCGCTCTTTCGCCCCAGGATGGGACCTGACCCTGGGGGCCGCTTTTGTGGCTTCGCTTGTTTTTTGCCCTCGTCTGTCTCCTGAGCAGGCCTCGTTGCTTCTTCATTCACCTGGAAATAGGTGTGTCTCAGGAGGCAGGAGATGCAGGGAGCGGGTGGGAGTTGCGGGTAAGCCCTGCCTTGCCTCCTGTTTAGGTGGGAGAAGCTTTCCCAGAGAGAGCCCGAGTGTCCAAAACTAGATAAAAGGGATCCCGCTCTGAGTAAGGAAATTGCAAGGGTGGAGGGGCTCCTGTGTGTGTTTGGCTTGGGGAGGAGGGTAACAGGATATGGTTATTCTGTTGTACTTCTGTGCTTCTTTGGCTATACTTAGCACTTTCTACCTTGTTTGGAGTTATCTCTGGGTGTGCTTTGCCTCCCCTACTAGATGGGGGGGCAGGTGCAGATCCCAGTCATTGTTACAAGTAACAGGTGCTCAATGACTGAATAAGGCAGAGCAGAAAGAGTGAAAGAGTCCCTAGGGTTTAACCTGGGCCAGGAGGTTTCCAACTGCTGCTAGGATCCTGGCTCAAGGGCCAACATGGTGGGGGAGGGGAGCCCAGGGGGCAGGGTCTGACCCCTCCCGTTTTTCATGCAGAACCAGCTCACTTCTGCCTTGATCTCTTTTATATACTGGGAAACCCCAGAGGATGTTTTTGATATCAAATTCCTCAGATCCAGCCTGGAGAGACTGAGTCAAGAGGTGTGCAAAGGGGTGTGGGCAAGATCCCCCAGAAGCCAGACCTTACCAGGAAAGCTGTTTCCTAGGCGATAGGCCAGGGGCACCTTTCCCTGGCGGGGTGGCTCTACGCAGTCATTTCTCCAGCTCTTAACACCAGCTCACTTCGACCCTAACTCCTCAAGTCTCAGCTTTTCCAGGCCTTTAGGGGGACCTTCTCATGTGAGTTGGTTTCACAGCCTGAGGTCAACATGAATTAGGTTTCCCAGGAGCTAGCAGCACACTGCCCCTTTCTTAGGCCAGCCCAACAGGGTAGGATAGCTGTGAACCCATTTCACAGCTGAGGAAATTAAGATTCAGAGAGGTCAAGTAACTTGGCTCATGGGCGATCAGTTCTTAAATTGCAGCTAGGTTTGAATGCAGCTTTGTGTGGCTGTAAGGTGTGTGCTCAGTCCATTGGATCATCTCTCATGATGGCTAGAAAATGGCTAATGGACAGATGTCATCAAGATGGTGACAAGTTACAGGAAGAATGGCTGAAAGGGAGGCAGCATTAATTGGAGGAGGGACTGTACACTTATAGGTGCATTCACAGTATAAATATAATTTTACTGGCAATGAATGTGTTTTCTGCCTTGTGTTTGATTTTTAGTGTTTATTTTACAGATACTTTAAAAACCTTTTATTTTTCTAATTTTAAAGTATAATTTATGTACAATAAAATCCACAAATCATAAGTGTTCGGCTCAACAAGTTTTGACAGATGTTTACACCTGTGTAACCACCACCCAAAATAAGATATAAAATTTGCATCATCCTAGAAAGTTCCCATTTCCAAATAATTTTCCTTCTGCCCTTCTAGGCAGCCATGTTCTGATTTTATCACCAATGATTAATTTTGCCTGCTCTTGGACTTCACATAAATGGGACCATATTGTATGTCTCTTTGATGCCTGGCTCATTTCATTGGGCATAGTGTTTGATGATGATTATATTATTATTATTATTATTATTATTATTAGGCATTGGGCATAGTGTTTGATTATTATATTATTATTATTTTAGCTGTAGAGGGTGCAGTGTCACTGGCCCATGTAGGATTGAACCCTCTGCCCTGCTGCTCAGAGCTCGCACTCCCAAGCCAACTCTTAACCAATGCGCCACTCCGCCGGCCTTGGGCTGTTATTTCTTATAGAATTATTTGTGGACATTTGTTTTCAAGTAGGGATGAAATTGCTGGGTCACAGGGCATATACCATTTTACATTCCCACCTCAGTGTAAGAGACTTGTGATTATTCCACATCCTTGACAAGATTTGATGTTGCCAGTCTTTGGTTTTAGCCATTTTAGTGCCTGGGTAGTAAGTGGTATATTATTATACCTTCTGTTTTATGATGGAATTTTAAGAGTTGTTGGAGAAGACAATACAAGCAGGGTCCAGAATATGAACTAAGACGGGGGTGGAGAGGCCACCGTGACCCGGAAAGGAAGGAACCAAATGGTGGTTGAAATTGTGACCTTGGGAATAGGAATTTCTGGCTCAGGAGAGCTATCTTATGTATCACCTGAGATTTAAAGACCTACTTGTACTCTGTAAACTAGGCAAGTTCATCCAGGCTCTTGGCTTTACACGCTACCTCTATAACAATCATCTTTATCTCCTGTTCAGATCTGTGTTTTGGGCCCCAAACTCAAATGTTTAGCTGCCTCTGGGCGTCTCTCGGGTGTCTCAAAGGCACTACAAACTTAAGTCTGCAACAGAATTCATTATCTCATGTTGGCTCTCGGTCATGGGTCACTGGATACATGATGGTACTGCTAGCTGAGAGAATATGTAAAGAGGAATGTTCAGGGCGGAGAAGAAAATGAATTTAGTTCCACGTTAAATGGTGCGGAGCAGTCTAGGCAGATAAGGTCTGAAATATACTGAGAGCAGTTTGGGTGGCATGGAGGGCAGACGAGCTAGATTGCTGATAGGTGACAGAAAGGAGGAGAGACGGTGAGAAGAATCAACGCTTTCAAGAAGTCTGTTTGAGAAGATCAGGAGAAAGAATGAGCTGTAACTGTAGGAAGAGAGTGGGAAGCAAAGCATCTTAGGATGGAGAAGACAAGTGAGATACAGGCTTAGGGAAAGGATACAGTGCAGGGGAGGAAAGGGATGGCCGATAGGGCAAGGTGCTAGAGGGGCAGGAGGGAGTGGGGAGGGTTGGCTTTGAAAGAAAGAAGGATGGATGTCTCCACCTCTGAGACTGGGTGTGAGCGAATGAAGATGAGAAAGCTCATCAACGACAAAATTCTGTGCGGATTTTCTGTATGCACAACTCCTAATCATGACGTGTGAGGTTCATTGGCTCCCTTCTTATTTCATATATATAGTGTGTATCCGTTGGCTTTTGCTGCAGCTATGCTGTATAACAAACAGCCCCTGCCCCCAGTCTTAACTTATGACCACAAAGGTTTCTTCATCGTTCACATTATGTGACTGCGGTAGGGCAGTTGCAGCTGCTCAGCCTCTGTGGCTGTGCTCCAGGTGCCAGCCAGACAGATCTGCTCCAGTCTAGTAATGCTTTCTCATTCTAGTACCCAGGCTGAAGGAGCTGCTTCTACCTGGTACATGTTATTTTTGTCAGAAGCTGCTTCTATCTGACACATGTTATTTTTGTGGTGAGAGCTGGAGGAAGAGAGATGACGTGATGCCCCTTGAAGCCTCTACTTTAAATTGGCACACTGTCCACTTTTACCCACATTCCACTGGTCAAAGCCAATCATTTGACAAATCCCAGATCAGTGGGGCAGAAATGTATGCTCTGCTTATTGATAAGGAATGAGACTTGGGAACAATCATCCAGTCGACCACATGTATTTGTTAATAACTCCCTGATACAGGTCCCCACTTATCTCTCCAAACTAATCCCCACAACACAGCCTAGTCTTTGGTACAATTGTTCTCTTTTCCTCAAGCATGACAATGCCCTTTTAAATTTCTGTATCATTGCATATAGGGTCCCTCTGCCTGGGAGTCATCCCCCCACCCCCATCAAATTTAGGACCTAGCTCAGTCAGCCCTACCACTTCGCCAGCTCTCCATAGGCCTTTCACTTCCATTCCCGCTGCCTCATGTGAGTTGAGATACACTCCTCTCCAGCCCGGACCCCTGCTCTATGCCCTCCCTCTTCTGTATCCCAGTGTTGTGTCCCCCGGCACCTCTTGTCACCACAGCCTAAGTCTTCTTTCCAGACACCAAACTGATTGTGTTTTTCAGTCTTTCCGAGGCTCCCCCCTGACCTCAGGATGAAGCATATATTCCTTTAGGTGACGTCCAAGGTCTTGCGTGAGCTGCTCCTTGAACTTCTCCTCACCCTGGTCACCACACCCCTTAGAACTTCTGCTCCACCCTCAAGGCACTACAGCAATTCATGAAACCCGC